CACCCCTTGGACAATTAGTTAGTCTTAAGGAACTCTACATTTCTGGGATGAAATCAGTCAAGACCCTTGGTACTGAATTCCATGGGAGTAGTTCACCTTCATTTCAACCATTTCCCTCCTTGAAAATTTTGAGCTTTGAGGGGATGCTAGAATGGGAGGAATGGAACTTGATTGGAGATAAAACTATAGAGTTTCCTAGTCTATCATATCTTTCTCTCAAGGATTGCCCCAATCTCAAAGGAACCTTACCCAACATGCTTCCTCCCTCTATTGATTTGAGTTATCTGGCTGTCTTCTATTGTTTCCAAAAGTATGCCCTGAACTCATAAAAATCTCACCAAACCACCCCTTTCCCTTAATTGTGCTTAAGAGCACCAATTTCATTCTAGACTTAACTATCTCAGACATTACCTTTCTAGCATCCTTATGCGATGGTTTTCCCACAACATTGAAAACTCTCACTTAACCTGACTATGAGAAACTGTAATAGGATGTTTGGATTTCAGGGAGTTGAGTAACTCCGTTGAAATAACACTCTATGAACAGGGAAAACTAAACTCAGAAAGCTCTCTGTTGATCAAAGAGAAAAGAGAAATAAGAGCTGACGATTTTCTCAATTATTTTCATCTTGTTACAAAACAACATGGTATCAAGCCATATATGGTGTGATTTGTTACGAGGCGATAAATTAGAGAAATTAAATTCTGATATGTGCCGTGATTTTAGCGCCATCATATCATTTCCTAACAAAATTTGTTACCTAATAACAGAAAAAAATGTGCAAATAGTAAAATCCTAAAGTAGTTTATTGCTGTCACAATACCCCCTTCTTAGAGAACACCGTTGTCCTCAAGGGTGAAAGTCAGGAAATTTTTTCAAAAAATTATAGTAAAATTCCCACGTGGCGTGTTCTGCGGGCAACCGTTGCCACTTGATGAGGACTTTAGTGGCAGCAACTTGACCTCTCTTCACCATTTTTCTGTCTAAAATAGCTTAGGGAAGGAGCTGTTACAGGTTGGGGATGTACTATTTAGGAATATGCACTGTAGGCACAACAGATGGATCCTTGCATATCTTCAACTGGGACACATGAAACACATTGTGAATTTCAGAGGTAGGCTGCAGCTGTAGTTGGTAAGCAACCTTGCCAATGGTATCCACCACCTTATATGGGCCATAGTATTTAGGGAGAAGCTTGTGATGATGTTGGTTCCTAAGTGAGAATTGCTGGTAAGGCTGCAGTTTGAGATAGACAAAATCACCAATGGAAAACATCCTGTCACTCCTTCTACTGTCAGCATATTGAGCCATCCGATTCTGGGCACGTTGAAGGTGAAATTTGAGCAATTGAATCATTTTTTCTCTCTTTAGCAAGCTCCTTTCCACACTAGGTATAGTGGCTTCACCAAGGAGATACGAAAGATGTATGGGTGGGGTTTGACCATATAACACCTCATAGGGAGTAGCTTGGAGGGATGAGTGGAAAGTGGTGTTGTACCACCATTCAGCCAATGGAAGCTATTTGCACCAAGAGGAAGGCTTGTCCGAACACATACATCGTAAATAAGTCTCCAAACACTTATTCACAATTTCTGTTTGGCCATCCAATTGTGGGTGGTATGCTGTCAACCGATTTAGAGCAACTCCTTGTAGCTGAAAAAGTTCCTTCCAAAATTTGCTAACAAAAATGGGATCCCTATCACTAGTGATTGTGTTTGGGAGGCCATGAAGCTTGAAAACATGGTCAAAATAAACCTGAGCAACATCTAAAGCATTATATGGGTGTGATAGATTATATGGGTGTGATAGAGCCTAGAAATGGGCACTTTTGCTCAACCTGTCAACAAACACCAAAACAACCTGTTTGCCAAAGGAAGGGGGTAATCCCTCTATGAAATCCATACTGATATCTTCCCATATTCTGTTGGGAACAGGTAGGTGTTGTAAGAGACCAGGGTGTGCAGCGTTATCTGATTTGCACCGCTGACATGTATCACAGTTTCGAACATGGTTTTGGATATCTTTCAACATTCCCTTCCAATAGAAAAGCGACTTAATTCTTGCGGCAGTGGCATCTCTACCTGAATGCGCCCGTGTAGGTGAATCATGCAACCATGTGAGAATGTGAAGTCGCAGATCTGGTATGGCGCCCACAACCAGCTTATCTCTACGCCGAAGTTCACCCCTGATGAATCCATATTTTTATTGATATTTTAGCATAATTCTAGCTCATTTAATAAGGAAAATATATGAAGAAAGCAGAAAAACTCAGAAAAAGAGAATGATTGAAAGTTTTATTTCAATTTGTAGTTATTTTCGCATTTGTAGAATTTATGCTTAGTTCTTAAGGAATTTATCTTGTTTTTGAAGGAATAATCTGAGCAAAAGTCATGGAAATGGATTATCAATGGAAAGGAAGAGGAAGAATGGCAATGTTGGACTCCAAAATACAAGAATTATGGGATACAGGCTGGGCGTGATCACTATTGTTAGTGAAAGTGATCATTCTAGAGCCTAAATGAGAAGAGGAGCCTGTGCGTAATCACTTTTATTTACAAGAGTGAGCGTTGCCAGTGTGCGTTATCACTTTCGCCAACGAAAGTGAACGTTCCAGAGAGACTTCATTCCTGATATGCTGCGCGTTGTCACTTTCGCCAACGAAAGTAAGCGTTCCAGAGGCACTTGTATCAGGACAGCTTGTGCGTGGTTACTATTACTCACGAAAGTAATCACGCGCAGCCCTTGACCTCCTGCGTTGCCACTCTTATGAATTAAAGTGAATGTTCCAGAGAAGCCTTCAACTCTGCAAGTTGCGCGTGGTTACTCTTGCTCTTGAAAGTGAACACGCGCACTACATAAAGCTTCTGCGTGGTTACTTTTGTGAAGAAAAGTGACAACGTGCAGAACTGGGGTTTCTATAAATACATGATTGAAGCGCGAAACTAGGGGTTTTTTGCTCATTTTCTGTTTTGTTAGTTAGATTCTCGTTGAGAGAGAGTGGAGAGAAGATTGGGGTCGAAGCTTGAAGCTCCAAGAAGAGGGATCGGATTAGAGCTCGTGGCCATGGCTGCTCTGCATTCATCTTCATCATCATCATCTTCTTCTTCTTCTTTCTCTGTTTTTGTTGCAATGTGTGCTTAATTTCCCATAGTTAGGGGTTTATGGAACTCGAATTGATGTATTGATTCGACTTTATCTTCTGAACTTTAAGTTCTTGGATTAATTGAGTTGTTAATTCTGCTTTTCATGCAATCTTTGAATGGAAATTCATTTGATTAATCAAGAGGAATCTTTACCAATGGGAATTGGATTGTTTGCTCCGATCTGAATTGGCAACCAGAGTTTAGGGATTTCTTAGGGATAAGGAGACCTAATTCTGCAATCTTATAGTTCTAATTCTTAATGCAACATGAAATTGAATCTCACCTAAGGGATTAGGGAGGTTTAGTGGATTGTTAGGGTCAATGAGTTAAGGAATTAACCTTTGGCTAGGTATATGTGAAACTGATTGTCAATTATTCAATTGCTTGAATGTTCAGAGGATTTAATTGGATTGATATTGATATTCTTGTGAAGTAAATTCCTAACTATCCTTCATTGCTATTTCATTTCATCACAAATCTTATACTCTATTTTTCTGCAAGTTCTTTACTCTTGATTGTTCTGATTATTGCTTTTATATGATACAACTCTCTTCCCAAATTCGTATGGCTCAAATGGTTATTTTTCTATGAAGTGATAATTGAGTTCCTAATTCCCTGTGGAGACGATATTCGGATGTTAAATTTACTCATTACTTACTGCAATCCTAGTGCACTTGCTAGTGTTTAGATTGCAAACAACAACCCCTATACCAAGAGTATTTGGGATGCTTGGGAGAGCGTTGTTGCAATTCCTCAATAAGTAGTTGCAATTGTGGATCAGTGGCCCACGACCCTTTAATCCTATCAAATAAATCATCACCCACAGTAGTCAATAATGTAGTTAACAACTCAGCATGCGACCGTCTAGATAAGGCATCTGCAGCAATATTAGTGACGCCCTCTTTGTATTGGATGTCGAAATCAAACCCCATCAATTTGGCAACCCAGACTTGTTGAAATGGAGTATTAAGCCGCTGGTCTAGAAGGTATTTAAGACTCTTTTGTCCGTTTTGATGGTAAAGTGATTGTGTGACAAATAAGCCCCCCATTTTTGTACCGTATGAATAACAGTAAGAAGCTCCCTTTCATACACCGGCATAGCTTGCTGGCATAGACCAAGTGCTTTACTAATGTAAGCTATAGGGTGTCTGTTTTGCATGAGAACTGCCCCAATGCCAGTACCCGAGGCATCGGTCTCCACTACGAAAGGTTGAGAGAAGTCTGGAAGGGCCAACACTGGAGCAGATATTAGTGCGCACTTTAAGTCTTGAAAAGATGCAATGGAAGCTGAGGACCATTGAAAATAATCGTGCTTTAGCATGTCCGTTAACGGCTTGGCAATTTTGCCAAAATTCTTCACAAAACGCCTATAGTATCCTGCCAATCCAAGAAACCCTCTTAATTGGTTTAGAGTAGTGGGTTGCGGCCATTGAGCGACTGCCTGATGTAACACCTAAATTACTACCAAGATCCTATTTTTTAAAATATATATATAAGACTTTCCTAAGATGGTGTACCCAAATGAACATGAACAAGAAGTCATTCATTCGACATTAGTGTGAAACTAAACAACAAATTCACAATTTAATTCATAGATAAGTGTACATTATCCTTCAATCCTTCATTCAATCTGTTCATTACCAAATCATGCATAACGTATTGCGTTTTACTAGTGTACTTGAAATTTCCTCAAATTAATTTCTTTTTATGAAAAAGATAAAGGTGAGCGCTCAGCATCACATGCATTCTTGGACTGAAATTTTGAAATCATAATGAGAGACATGTAAATAAAGCGAAAATATGATTATATGCATATACGTCTCTAGTTCAAATGGTCCAAGGTAAAATCATTATGAAACAAACAAAATGAAGACCTCATAGTCCTGTATTTCAAAAGTAATTATAAACAGCCTCGAAAGAAAGAAAAAGAAATTATAAAACGTAAGAGCAGTGTTCATCCATGAGAAAAAAAATAACCATCTACATATAAAACACTGGTGGAAAGGAATCTTCACTAGGCTCGGACTCCATTCCATCAGAATCCGGTGAAGCATCCACGGGCTGAGGGCGAGGTGAGGGTGGCAAGTCGTTCGGGTCACTGTCAATCCAGCCGATAGTGGGTGGGGGCGATCGAGAAGCAGGTGGTGGTGGTGAAGGGTGTCGGACAGAGGGTTCAGCTTCGTCGGAAGGAGGTGCTCGAATCTGTGGAGTGTGGCGAGGTACTGGCCTAATGGAAGATTCGATAACTTCGACATCCTTTAACTCAGGAGCAGGGGTAGGACTGGAAGGAGGGGTAGGCTCGGGGTCAAGATTGATAACGGTCTTACCTTTGTCAATAAAAATTTTAAGACGTTTGGCTGGGGGTTCTTGTGATGGAGAATGAGGGGGTGAATGGATGATAATACTCCGTTCCGAAGGTAGAGGTACAGAGATGTCTGCAAAAAGGGTGTCACTCCAGCTCAGCTTCCAACCGCCTTCAGTGAGAGGTCCCATGGTCATGGAGACCATTCCTTGGTACACGAGACGGTGCATTGCCTGGTTGTATCTCCATACCGCTTTCTTATCGGAGTCCTCTCCCCATATTATTGCTCGCTGAGGGTCCATCTGTCACACAGTCACGCAATACATACAAACACGCAACAATAGAATACGAACAGAAAGGATGAGTTCCAAATACAATCAGATTTCAATTAATGAGTAAGGAAATCAGAGTAATATCAAGCACTTGCGAAGTTACATCTTAATAAACACACAGTCATAACAAAATGCCCAATAAACAGTTACAAAATGCAAGCAGAGTCACAGAGATTCGTCACAACATAATTTAAACACTAACGCTTAAAACGTCACTACTTCTTCAGTTTGTTCCCACCATTCCTCCAGTCAAGGTGATCTGAGGCCCTCGTTCCCTACAAGCACACATTGTATGTAATCCATCAAGAATATTCTCCCAATTTAACCATTTCGATCCCTCAGAAACGAGTCCTTCCACGATCCTTGGTAATGCTTGCTCGCGTCAGGATTAGTGGAGGTTTCGATGGTGACATGTCCCGGCCGCGGTGAGCTATTCCGCACAATGGGGCAACCCCCCTCCACTACCCCCAAGGTTCTTCCTTGTTGTTAGCAATCTACACTAGCAAGTGCACTAGGATTGCAGCAAGTGATGAGTAAAATTAAGATCCAAATATCGTCTCCACAGGGAATTTAGATTCAAGTATCACTTCATAGAATTATAACCATTTAAGCTTTTTCGAAATTGTAAGGAGAGTGGTAACATCTAATAATAGCAAACTGGAACAATTAAAAGTAAATTGAACTTGCAGCAAACAAGACAATGCACACACAGTTATGTGATAACAGAGAGAGAAACCATAGCTAGGGAATTGCTTCACCAAAACTCCAATGTTTAATCAATAAAGTTCTGAATTAACAAGCAATTGGAAAGAATGACAATCAGTTTCACTTTATACTATTCAGAGGTTAATTCCTTAACTCAGTGAACCTAACATTCAATTAAACCATTCTAATTCCTTAGATCTAATTCAATTCAATGTTGCTTTAAGTGTAAGAAACCAAAAGATTGCAAGATCAAAGTTCCTTATCCCTAAGAAAACTAAAATCTCGGTGATTAGTTCAGATCTGAAGAACAAATTCAATTTCCATTGACAAAGGTTCTTCTGAATTTAGTTAATCAAATTTCCATTCAATTCACACGTGAAGTTCAGAATCAATCACTCAATCTATTCCAAAGCTTGAAATCCAGATCCAAATCAATTCAACATGTTCATTTCAGATCTACAATCCCTAACTATGAACGAATTACACAGCCATGGCAGCAGAAGAAGAAAAAGAAAGAGAATAAGAGAAGAAGAAACTCAGAAACGCCATGGAAGCTTGCTCCACTCCAATTCCTCTTCGTGAAGCTCCAAGATCTGAATCCCCACTCCTCTCTCTCACTTCCTCTAACCAGAAACTAACTAAAAAAACTGAAAATGAACAGAATCCCTTTTTTCTGGATCGCTTGTGGTATTTATAAAATTTCCCAGATTTTCACGTTATCACTTTTATGAGAAATAGTAGTTACGCAGAGAGTTTTTGGTTGTGCGTTAACACTTTTCCCAGAAATAGTGGCCACGCGCATTTTTCTGATATTGAGAGCTCTCTGGAACTATCACTCTTGATGATAAAAGTGACAACGCAGAGCCAAGGTAGTTGCGCGTTATCACTTTTTCTGATAAAAGTGACTACGCGCAGTTCGCCAAGTTGAAGACTCTCTGGAACGATCACTTTTGATGACAATAGTGGTTACGCAGAGCTTTCCTGATATTTTGCCTCTCTAGAACTATCACTTTTAATGATAAAAGTGGTAACGCCCAGACTTCACTTCTTCTTTGAGCTCTGAAGTGATCACTTTCACTGACAATAGTGATCACGCCCAGTCTGCAATTTCTTATTCTTGAGTTTTTGGAGTCCAGACTTGCTTCTTTCCTCTTCCTTGTCATCAAACTTCCAAGAATATGATCCTTGCTCAATTTATTCCTACAAAAACAAGATTAAAAACTTAATTCCTAAGCAAAAATTTCACAATTGCTAAAATAACTACATATGTAAACAAAGTTTTTTCTAAGTTTTTGGTAGTAATGATCCTTGCTTCTTTTTCTAAGTTTTTTCTGCTTTCTTTATATATTTTTCTTATCATTTGTGTTAGAATTATGCTAAAATATCAGTCAAAATATGGATTCATCATTCCTTTGAACCTGAACACTCACATTCCCTAGCGGTGCCAAACTGTATCCTTGACTCTCCATCCTCCACACCACATGTGTAAACATCCACACATAATGACAATGATAATGTGAAATCGAGGCACACTCAAAGGGTTCACGCATGCAAAAGAGGGGTGTGCACACGCACTCAGGAAAAACAAAGGAAAATAGGGAAAGATGGAGATGAATGTAACAACTTCCACGAAATATTCAAACACCTCAAAATATACCATCTACACAAGTGCCATGAAATTTTTATAACATAATCGTAACCTAATCCCATATGTAAACTCATATTTTGAAGTTAGAAACCGACAACATCCATGGTTTATTGTTCAAACAAGTTTCATTTTTAACCAAAATAGGGTTCCTTGGCTCTCAGTCAAAACAAAAGAAATGGGTTGGGAGAAAAAGTTGATTTCATGGTAAAGGATTTCGAAAAACAAGATGGACAACAAGAGCCGAGAAGAGATAAAGGCTGTATCACGAAAATCTACCATTCAAGAATAAAATCATTCAAGATCATCATTTCCATTCAATAATCAATATGAATAAGCAAGGATCATGCAAGGTTTTCGGTATTATCAACATGTAGACAATGTTTTCACTCATCCATACTCATTCAAGTTACCATACACCATTTTTAAGTCGTATTCAAATAAAGGGGTAAGGAGATGAAGAGAAAGTTGTTTGCATGTCACTTTTAATCTTATTAAAAATGAAAATGGGAAGGAAGGATATTAATCACGTTCAATCACGCACACATGAGCAAGCACATTCATTCATACACACAATCACGAACTCCCCTAACCTTGTTTGGTTAAAAAAAAAAGACGAAGAATGGAAGGTTTGGTCTCGGTGTTGGTAAGAACTTCAACCACAGCTCGAATCTTGTGTGGCGGCACAATCGTTGGAAGGGAGGTGCAAGCGGTGTTGGGAACTCTCTAGGGTCCTTCGTATCTTCAGGGGGTGGTGACGAGAAACGTTGCTCACGAGAACAAGAGGGAAGGGGATTGTTTGGTGTGGGGGTGAGAGAACGTTTGAGAGAGAAAAAAGAGAGATAAGGTTAAGAGTGTTTTGAAAAATGAAAAGGGAAAAGGGTGCGTGAGAAATGAAGGGGTTCTTATATAGTGTCAGCATAAGATTCAGGTCTTTTCATCTCTTCAAAGGGCTGGCGGTCACGAACTGTACAAGGGGAAGTCTTTAGGGTTAGGTTAAGTGAAGTGGTGCAACTTTTCGCCTCCTTCTTGGAACGATCACGTCCCTTAGTGCGCTGGTGCAGGTGAGATGTCCTATTAAAGCATTAAATGCTCAGAGTTGGAAAAGAAGCAACGTTTAATGCTCCACATTTATCCAGCAATCAATCATTAGAGGAACACAGCCGTGATTGGTGAGTTGGTTCCTGCGAGGCTATGCAATTAAGGCAAGGTGGCTGCATAATTTTTCTGGTGGAGGGAAAAAGGTTTTGAACTTTCTACATTCTAGTCGCATGAAGGGTTGCGGCTTCTAACCTACTTCGTGGCAAGGGTGGCGCTTCCTCTTCCAAAAGTGGGCGTGGGGAAAAGCCTCCATAATGAGTGATGAATGCCATTAAATCATGAGAAAAGAGCATGCAATTAAATGAATAAGTAATTAAGGAAGAAATTATTGGTTGGCATGATTTTAGGGTTTTAATTACACCAGATAACAACTTTTCACGTTAAGTCGCCACTCTTAAATGGGCAGGTGGCGGTTTCAAGTTTCTATGGGGGAGAAATAAATTTAAACCCTCAACATTCCGTGCACATGAAACGTCGAGTCCTTTTGGGTGGCTAGGGAAAGGGTGACGCCTCCTCCACTACCATGCAAGTGCAAGAGTCCCACAAATAATTATTACTACCAATAAATGGGGAAACATAACATAAATGCTGGGCACGGTTTGAGGGGGATTAAATGTCCCAGGTGAAACGTTTTGTGTTGCTTGGTTTGGCCAATTAAATGCTGGCCGCGGTTGGGTCTATTTGGGGAAGGAATGGGGCGGTTGTCTCTTCATTTTCCCCCTTTGGTAATTAATTTAGGTGAGAGGCACAATTAGATACCAAATTAAGGTGGAAGGTCAGCCCTCATGTAAAAACAAAATTTGACATTTAATGAGAAGAATGGAGTTTCAAATTTTCGGTTGCACTATATATAAAAAAAAGGAAAGTTTTTAAATAAGGTCCAATCAGAATATGGCAGTCCAAGAGGTGGCGGCTGTATTTATTTAGGGTAACCTGGAACAATGGGATTGCATTAAGTATAGTTAATTTGGGCTAGAATCCTAGGCTATCAAATTCGGTTCTCTCTCCCTCCCCTAAACATAAATGACTTTTCGGTTACTAGCACTAAATGAGGGAAGATTAAAACTTGCCTCTTGGATCTTTTGTAGTACACGTGAGTTCTAGGATAAAAAGGATGGTGGCTCTCATTAATGGTTTAACTTAGTGTGCATGGAACCAGAATAATGGAAAACTTAAGTACACCCACTATTAAAACCTAGTGAACATTCAATATAAATAAAGAAAGTTACACGTGCAGTTCCACTCAAATTAAGAAAGCATATCACAAAATCAAATAATAAGATTTAAAAGAACTATGAAATATTAATAACAATCATCAGGGGAATAAAAAGAAATGGGGTCCATTCATCTGTCTTAAAAGACTATCTCGCCCTAGATTAATCTCACTAACCTTGGGTTAAGTCAAGGTAACTTCATCACATAATCATATAGACATGCACATACGAAATTAACTAAACATACCGTGGGAGAAATAATTATGCAAGCTGTGAACATAATATGATCAGACAATTGTAGCAAGATTTGAACTAGAGTACTAAAAAAAATCAAATAAAAGTGTTACTAATTAATAACTAACACTCTCTGCCATGCAGGCCAAAATTTGGGATGTTACACCTGAAGTTTGGTAAGTTTGGTAGGGTCAATTGAAACACCTTCCTTTGTAATAAAGTGACCAAGGTATTCAACTCGATTAGCCGCAAAGGAGCACTTGCCTTTATTGAGAAATAGTTGATGCTGTCGGAGAATCTCGAACACCATTCTGAGATGGTGGAGATGGGATTCCATAGATGGGTTGTAAACTAATATATCATCGAAAAAGACGATGATAAACTTCCATAAAAAGTATTTAAAAATAGCATTCATGAGGGCCTGAAACGAAGCTGGAGCGTTTGTGAGTCCAAATGGCATTACAAGGTACTCAAAATGTCCGGCGTGTGTTTTGAATGCCGTTTTAAACTCTTCACCATGCATCATTCTGACTTGATGGTACCCGGAATGTAAGTCAAGCTTAGAATAGATTGCTGATCCCCCCAACTCATCCATTAGATCCTCAATTAATGGAATAGGAAACCTATCCTTAACTGTTTGAGAATTCAAGCGGCGATAATCCACACATAGTCTCCAGGAGCCATCCTTTTTTTCTGACAAGGACAGCGGGAGAGGCATAAGAGCTGTTACTGTACTGTATAATGCCTTGACTTAACATTTCGTTCACCAACTTATCAACTTCATCTTTCTGAACTACCGAGTAATGGTATGGTCTTTGGTTAATAGGTAGGGAGCCTTCCTTTAAAGGTATTTTGTGGTCGAAAATACCTCGCGAAGGTGGTAGATGAGTTATCTGTGAAAAAATATTATCGAAGTCTAGGAGTAGAGCGACAAGTGGAGGAAGAATTGATGAATGCTGGTCCTGGGCAGACGAAAAACTGATGTTGCAAGTAAGAATCATAAACGGATCTGCCGACGAGCTAGGTTGTAAAAAACATAGTTGGGCTCCTTGCTGCAATGCCTGGTTGAAAGTTTTATTGTTTCTGAGTTTTGTGGAGGGTCGTTAAGCTCCACGCAGTATAAAGCGTTTACCAGAGTAGGTAAATTCCATTTGTAATTTAGTGAAATCCCATACAATAGGGCCTAGGGTAGTCAGCCATTGTATGCCCAAGACCAAATCACAGCATCCCAGCGGTAGGACCATGACATCAGATTGAAATAAAGTTTGTTGTAATTTCCATTGGAACCCTTTGCACATGAATTGAGCATCAATTTGTGTGCTATTGGCGACTGTTATGGATAAAGGAGAGATTGGTTCCAATCTACACCCTAGCTTTTTGGCCACATCCAAATCAAGAAAATTGTGGTACTGCCACTGTCAATAAGAATGTGCAACAACTTCTTACTGTGCAACCTGCCAATTCTCATAGTCTGATAAGTTGACAGTCCTGATAAGGCATTCATGGATAGTTGTGGGGTAGTACCAACAGATGTACTTCCAGTCACATTGTCATGGTCTTTATCCATAGTGAAGTCAGCATCTACCTCGTCGTCATTATCCAACTCCATTAGAAACACTTGAGCGCGCTTATGTTTGAGTTGGTGACTGGGTGTAAAAGCTTCGTCACAGAACATGCATAATCCTTTTGCCTTTTTTTCAGCCATTTCAGTTGCGTTAAATGAATGGGGTGTTTTAGTGAGGGGTTTGACAGTGTTGTTGGGATGAGGTTTGGGAGTTGGGTCATGAGGTTAGGGTGGGACAGTTCAGGGTTGGGTTTATGATTGGGGTTTATTGTGGGAAAGGTAGGAGACCGATTAAAATGCTTGGATACTTGGTGGGTGGGTTTCGAAGCTTCATGTAATCGGGCGAGGTTCGTAGCTTGAGCTAAGGATGTCGGATTAAACATGCGAACATGCATTTGGGTGTGATGTTCCAACCCGGTAAGGAAGATGCTAAGAGAATGCTCAAGGGGAAGGGTCACTTGGGTCAAGGCCAACTCAAATGCCTCCACATAATCTTGCACACACCCTGCTTACTTCACCTCTATCAAATTTGAGAGTGGGTCTTTGTAAATAGCACCAAATCTCATGGTAATATTTGCAATGTACTCTGGCCATCCTGGGTAGAAGTTGAATTGAGACCTCATATAATTAAGATGCCATTGTAGGGCACTTCCATCCAAATGCATAGAAGCTAAGCGGACTTTGGACTCGGGTGTATTATCGAGAGTGAAAAATTGTTTGCACTTGTACAACCACTCCTTGATGCGAGTTCCGTCAAATTGAGGAAACTCCACCTTAGAATACGCGTGGAATACAAAGTCTGTGAGGGAGAATTATGGTGACGAGGAATCTGGCTAGAGACCCCCTGGGAGTCTTTGTGGTTTTCCTGGCGAGGCTCGCCACTGCCCCGTTCGTTTGCAGGATCTCCAGTAGTGAGCAAAGCCTTGAGCTCTGCCAAACAGGTTGTAACCTGGTCAATCTTGTCTTGCATCGCTGTGTTAGACTCGGTGATTTTTCTGGTCAATGATCGCTGAACCTCCTGGATGGTTGTCTGATTGTGCGTTGCGTCAGTCTTGGAAACGACCTAGGTGATACCAATTGTAACAGGATGTTTGGATTTCAGAGAGTTGAGTAACTCCGTTGAAATAACACTCTATGAATAGGGAAAACTAAACTCAGAAAGTTCTCCGTTGATCAAAGAGAAAAGAGAAATAAGGGAAATAAGAGCAGACAATTTTCTCAATTATTTTCATCTTGTTACAAAACAACATGGTATCAAGCCATATATGGTGTGATTTGTTACATGATGATAAATTAGGGAAATTAAATTATGATATGTGCCGTGATTTTAGGGCCATCATATCATTTCCTAACAAAATTTGTTACCTAATAACAGAAAAAACATGCAAATAGTAAAATCCTAAAGTAGTTTATTGCTGTCACAGAAACTGGATTTCCTACCTCAGAATCCTTGTGCAATTACACGTCACTTAAGGATTTGACAATCTATAATAGTTGTAATTCACTGACCTCCTTTACCCTAAGCTGTCTCCCTTGGCTCAAAAGTCTCTGTATTACAAGTTGTAAGAATCTGAAATCCATTCTCATTGCAGAAAATGCTTCCTGGAGTCTCTCACTTCTTCAAATTTGAGCATAAGCAGTTGTGTTGAACTTGAGCCATTTCACATGTTGCCTACTCCAAACCTCATTTCCCATGTTCACCATTAGGAGTTGTCAATTACTGGAAGCAAATTATGGCAATTTCATCTGTGTAATTATGTTAAATAGGAAATTGAATACTCTGTAATCATTATTACTATTATTATTATTCATGCAGTAGAAACACACAAATTCATCCATATATTTTTTCACTTTTCTCTTTTCCAATATGATATCTAGAGCTTTAAGAGAGATTAACTTTAATTTATGCTTCTCCGGTGGGCCTATTGTCCATTGGTGATTTTTTTTTAACAAAAAACTGACTTTAATCTTCAAATTTGGGTCTTCTTGCACACTGTTGTAATGAATTTTCCATGTCGATCAGAGTTCAAAGGTGCCCTCGTGGCTGCAAAACAGCAGCGTGAAAAATCAGTTCAGCTGTCACCATCACTTCGTGTGGCGGTGTGTGACGCCATTTTTTTGGCCATTGTTGACGCTGACAACATTTTCTTTCACTTTTCCTTCCATAATTGTGGTTGGTTGGCTCAATTTTGCTTCCTACAATAGTTTGGCATTGCTCACGTCTTCATTAACCCATGGACAAGATTACACCCGCAAAGGCTAAAACTACAGCTTTTAGCAATTACGTCACTACCGAGATGCCTCCATGCACTCCTAAGCCTACGACTTCAGTTGTGCTTTTGTCTTTTCATTCTCGTCTTGCCGTTAGCTGTGAGATCTTCATTTCTTGTTTCATACAAAGAAAAAAAAAACCATTATTGAAGTTCTATTTGTTTAAAATTATAAAAGTATAATTTAGAATCTTTAAAAATAATTAATATTCTAATAAACTAATTATAGTACAAATAAAACAAAAATATGTATCGTCAAGGTAAAAAGAATGAATTATTTTTCTATTAAAGAAAAGAATAAATATTTATTAAATTAAAAATATTTACTTAAATATTATAATTATGCAATCATGATTTATTTAATTGATAATTATAAACATATTAAAATATATTTTTTTAACCATACTATCTAAGTATATTTAATTTTTTATTTTTCTTGTTAAACAAAGCTTAAAACCAAAAAACAACCAAAGTCAAAATAGAAAAAAGCCACCCCACAGTCAGCCCCTACTTTAATCAACTAATATGTACATTGATTAACTTCTTTAAAGACATGGCTAAGCTTAATGAATCGAATACCTTTTAGTAAACACCTAATACCTTCTTTAAGGACATGGTTGCTATTGAAAAAATTTACAATTAAGGAAATATTCTTCCTAGAATCACATTCAACTTAAATTAATTGAATGTTCTTCAAAATAATAAGCTTGAAACCCCAAAAGATACTCCAAAGTTCAACACCTACAGGGGTGCAAGGGTCAAAACTACTATGAAAACCAACAAGAAAACTTCCCACAGCTAGCTAATCTAGAATAATGTGAGACAGCTCCATCTATATTAAACTTGAGCTGTGTTTTAAATAGAGGTTGCCATCTAACAAGACTCTAGATATCTATAAAAGCAACACCACTAGCCTTCTGATTAGCCTTATCACAAGAGAGGTAAAACTCAAGATTACAAAGAAGAATTCTAGAAAATATAATTATTCATATCTTTCCACAAATTCTAAGTAACTATTCCAAACATATTTTTCCAGTGGGGGTAAGAAAAAAAATTGTGTTTAGACAAATTGTGCTTTAGCCAACTATGCAAGCCTTTGCTAAAGAAAGGAACCCAAAATTCAGGAAGAATAAGTTGATTTCACACATGTTTTACAAAATAGCAGTCCTTAAGGACATGAATAACAATTTCAGCTTCCTCTCCACACCTGGGACAGAGAAGGGAAGCTAGTCATGCCTCGAAGGCACCTTTTAGCATTTGTTAATAGCCTATCATAGCCTACTTTACACAAAAAGATAGCCTATCATATGCTTGAAAGTGTTGTTGTGATTGATCTTACTTATGTGAAATGTGTTAGAAACTACGTGAAGGGTGTTTGAGGTGAGTTTCTATGTTTGTGTGTGTTGGGTAGTGTAAAGTACTCACCCTTATGTTTATTTTTCAGGGGACCAAGACAATCAGCACCGGACTCAGTGAAAGAATGGATGAGACTGCTATAGGACTCTGATTTTACTTTGAAATTTTAATGTATTTGAATAATTCTTTTAGTAGTTTCCTTGATTAAAATTTGTAAACACTTATTATTTGGAAATGCTTTGTCAAACCGTGTATGGGAAAAACCTTTTGGAAATAAAATTTTTATTATTCCCATTTTTGCGAAATATATTATTTTGAAATTAAATTTAAGATGTTACAATAATTGGAAGGAATGATGTGGAATGAAGAACTCTATACAAACTGAAAATAAAGTCTGTGTAAAAAAGATTTTCATTGTTGTTTTGATGATGCATTGAATCCCCCTTGGTGTGTTTTAGTTTGCTTGAGGACAAGCAAAAATCTAAGTTTGACGTGGTGATGAATGCATATTTTACTAGATTTTTTTGTAGTTTTCTAAGTTATTTTTAATAAAAAATGTAATTTGGAAAGTGAAAACTGCACAAAAATATATAAATGTTCAATAAAGTAAATTGTTGTCTTTAGTAATTCAAATTATGTGAATTTAATAGAATTCTGATGTAATTTTGTTTGTTTTGTAGGAAACTTTGAACTTAGATCATAAGGTTGGAGGATCAAGAGAAAAAGTAGAAGAAAGTAACAATTTTGGAGACAAAGAGTAAAGAATAATGAAGCTAAGTGTTGGACGTTATCACTATTTCTGAAGAAAGTGATCATTCCAGAGCTTGAGTTTATAAGCTAACCTGTGCGTTATCACTATTTATGAGGAAAGTGATCATTCCAGAGCTTAAGTTCAGAAGTTAACTTGTTTGTTAACACTTTTTCTAACAATAGTAACTACGCCCATGAAGAAAGGCTCTGCGTTATCACTATTACAAATAATAGTGATTGTGCCAGAAGTGGAGTAAGAGGAATAAGCTACACGTGATCACTATTTTTTAGTAAAGTAAACACTTGTAAGTCTGAATGGCAGGAATAAGCTGCACGTGATCACTATTTTTTAGTAAAGTGAACACGCATAAGTCTGAATGGAAGGAATAAGCTGCGCGTGACACGCACAAGTCTGAAATGAGGCAACAAGTTGTGCGTGCTCACTATTTTTTAGAAAAGTGATCACACGCATGAGTAAAGAGCAAAACAAGTTGCACGTTGCTACTTTTGTCAATAAAAGTGACCATGCGCATGGTATTTGAGGCAATTCATCTTTGCATTGCTACTATTATAAACAAAAGTGGTTGTTTCAGCTGTGAAGATTACTAGAAAGCCTTCTATGTGGTTACTTTATTTTATAAAAGTAACCAAGCTAGAAAGACGAGAAATCTATAAATATGAGATTCACGCTAGAAAGGCGGGAAATCTATAAATATGAGATTAGCTCAAAAACTTGGAATATTTTCTCATTTTTCCTTTTCCACACCTTAGGAGAGTTAGAGAGGGAGATTGAGGGCGACTTCCAAATTCTGGACCTTGAGGAATCAGGTTGGGGATTGGATTTATGAAGAAATTCTGCAACTTCTCTTCTTCTACTCTTTCTTTTTCTTTTTCTTTTAGGAACATGTTCTGATTTCTTTTTGTTAAGGTTTGATGGATCTGATTTTGATATTGTAAATTGATTATGAATCTGGATTTTAAGATCTTGATTGTATTGAATGCTTAATTCTTTTCTTAATGCAATTCTTGAATTAGCTTTTCAATTGAATTGACCTAGAGGATTTTCATCAGTGGAAGTTGAGTTAATTTCTCAAATCTGAATTGAATGTCAAGGTTATAGATATCTTAGGGATAAGAATTTGTGATTTGTGATGTCTGAATTTCTCGTACTTAATGCAATGTTTGATTGATTTACACCTAAGGATTTAGGGTAGTTAATTGAATATTAGGATCATTGAGGCAAGGGATTGTCCTTTGATTAAATAAGTGAAATTGATCATCAATCAATTAAAGAACTTAGAGTTCAAATCTACTTCAGTTTTGCACTTGATAAAGAAGTGAAATCAATCCTAACTTCATTTACATATCATTTCATTACTGTTGTTTACAATTCTAAACACTAGCAAGTGCACTAGGAATTGTAACAAGTAATGAGTAATTTTTAAGATCAGAATATCGTCTCTACAGGAAATTAGGAAATCAATTATCACTTCACAGAACAATAACCATTTGAGCCATACGAAATTGGAAGAGTTGTATCATTCATAAGTAAGAAATAAGAACAATTAAAAAGTAAGAAACTTGCAGTAAAAATAGAGTATGAAAGTTGTGATGAAATGAGATAGGAATGAAAAATAGTTAGGAATTTACTTCGCAAGAATGTCAATATTGATTCAATTATGCCTCTGAACATTCAATAACTTGGTTAATTGACAATCAGTTTCACATATTAATAGCCAAAGGTTAATCCCTTAACTCATTGATCCTAACAAGCAACTAAACCACCCTAATCCCTTAGGTGAAGTTCAATTTCAAGTTGAATTAAGATTTAGAACCTTAGGATTGCAGAATTAGGTCTCCTTATCCCTAAGAAATCCCCAATTCTGATTGCTAACTCAGATCAGAGAAGCAAATCCAACTTCTATTGGTAAATGTTTCTCTTTGATTAACCATACGAATTTTCATTCATAGATTGCAATAATAGCAGAATTAACAATTCAATTAATACAAGAACTCAAAATTCAGAAGCAACAATCAAATCAATACATCAATTTGAGTTCCATAAACTCCCAACTACAAAGAATTAAGCAAACATTGCAACAGAGAAAGAGAAAGAAGGAGAAAAAGAGAAGAATTGCAGAGAAGCCATCTCCACGAGCTCCAATCCAATGCCTCTTCTTGGAGCTTCGAAATTCAACCCCAATCCTCTCTCTCACTCTCTCTCAATGAGATTCTAACGAAAAAAATGGAAAATGAGCAAAAGACCCCGAGTTTTGAGTTTAAAACATGTATTTATAGAAATCTCGATTCTGTGCGTTGTCACTTTGTTTCATAAAAGTGATCACGCAGAGGCTCATTCTATTTCTGGAAGACTGGAACATTCACTTTTGTTGATAAGAGTAGCAACGCAGGAGGTCAAGGAGTGCACGTGATCACTTTCGAGAGCAAGAGTGATCACGCGCAACTTGCCTTGATTTACTCCTCTCTGGAACATCCACTTTCGTTGGCAAGAGTGGTAACGCAGAGCTTGCTAAAATTTGCCTTCTCTGGAACACTTATTTTCGCTAGTAAGAGTGACCACGTAGAGCTCGCTGAAATTCTGTCTTCTCTGGAACACTCACTTTTGTTGGCGAGAGTGACAACGCACAACTCTGCTGAGATTGAACTTCTTTGGAACGTTCACTTTCAGTAATAATAATGATCACGCCCACACTCAACTTCTCATTTAAGCTATGAATCACTCACTTTTGCTGGCAAGAGTAACCACGCCCAGCTTAAACTCCATAAGCCATGTTCTTTGAGTCCAGACTTTCTACTTTTCTGCTATTTCTCTATTGATCTACCAGCCT